TTTTTGAATGTTCGTAAGTGTCAACGATGGTTCAGCAAATTTCGTTCAGGTGACTTTAGCCTTAATAACTGTGATGGCAGGGATCGACATGTTAGAATTGCTTTGATGGTCCGAAGACGCTTGTTGGGTCTAACCCAAGGCGACATACTCGTGAAATGGCCCTAAAATTGCATGTCTCTCATGAACAATACGTAAACATCTAAGGAATATGGGAAAACTCCATAAAAAAGGTGTTTGAGAACCTCACAACTCTCCGATTATCATCGTTTCCAACGTGTGAACGTTGCTTAGTCTATTCTGGTGCGTAATGCGCGTGAACCATTTTTGGACAGAATTGTCACAGGTGATGAAAAATGGATTCTCTATGTGAATATTAAATGCCAAAAATAATGGCTCAGTCCTAAACAAAAACCACTTCCGACCCTAAAACCTGGACTCCATCCACAGAAGGTGATGCTTTGCATTTGGTGGGACATTAAAAGAGTAATTCATTTCGAACTCCTCGGTCCACAGCGAACTATCAATGCAGAGATCTATACTCAGGAACTGGAACGTTTAAATCAAGCCCTTCATCAGAAACGGCCTTCACTCATCAATCGGAAAGGCTTCTTCTCCATGGCAATGCACGTCCACATGTGGCACGTTTCACGCAACACAAGATTATGGAGTTGGGATGGGAAGTTCTCCCCCACCCACCATATTCTCCCGATGTGGCACCATCAGATTACCATCTTTTTCGTTCGCTGTAACATCATCTTAATGGGAAAACGTATGCAAATGTGGAAAGTGTTAAAGAGGACATCGGCATATCTTTTGCTTCAAAGCCAAGTGATTTCTTTAATCAAGGCATTAACAACCTGATTGTAAAATGGAGAAGCATCATCGATAAGAATGGAGACTATTTCATTTAATAAATGTTTTGTTGTGATATATAAATTGTTCGGGTTTTTTCATATACAAAATAGCGACATTAATTTTTTGACAACCTAATATAAATAAGGTAGTTTAGATTTTTCTCTACCTTTCAGACCGTGGATACATAACACTAGTTTTTATAACTGTCTATGGACACGGTACGTTTAATTTCCAGCTAGTTTTGATTTAGATGTTTTTCTTTTATCTAAATCGTTTTCTTACAGTGTTAAAAACGTTAATGTTTTAACTGCCCAAAAACTGGGAGTTTAAAGTAAACCAAAAGTATTACAAAGGGTTAATCACACTTTATAGGAGTGATTTGTATATGTTAACGCAGGTAGTGTGGTGCTCAAGACGACATTTTTAGCCCTTACGTATTTGGTTTACAGCGGATTACCAATCTTTCAATGGTGTAATGCCACCATGGCTAACTTACGACTGAAAGAATGTGTCACAGCCCTTAAGATTCTTAAACGATTTAAAGTCAAGTTTGTTTAATTTAGAATTTTCGCCTAATGATACATAGTAATTCTACGTATAGCCATTCCTAATTTTGAATTGATAGGCTAGAGGGAGAGCAACTGGACAACAGCACCAACCGTCAACCCTTGGACAACTTTTATCTGACTGAGTAGTAGATTTGACCGTCACTCTTATAGCATACACAGTATGGAGCGTGTTTTTACGGCAAAAGGACGCGAATCATGAACCACCAGATTAATAGTCCCGACATGCTAACCACCAGGCTATGTTAGTTTTATGTGGAACCAAAAGACAAAATTTCGTCCTCCGTGATAGTGAAAACCCCACTAAGCAGAGCATCTAGGATAGTAGTGCTCTGAAACTATACTTCAAACACGTTCATCAACAACACAAAGCTATGATTATAAACGAAAGAGAATCCTTTGATCCAAAAAGCCATGTGATGAAGCTGGGCATATCTCCTACCTCTATTAATCAGGTAATAAACAAGGATTTGAATCAACAAAAGTTCCACACAAGTTTAGACACACCTTAAGGTCAACCACTGTTTTTATGAGAAACATAGCTGAAGAAACTGGGATCGCAAAGAACTGCATACCCGTCAATTCCTTTGATGCAACTCCAACAGGCCTTTGATCTACTTATGCATTGTCTTGGAAGCCGGCGTCGGTTTGATGTTAAACACAAAGCTACACAATGAGTTATCTGTGTTCTGCCCACCATCGGTATAGAAACTAGATTTTTAGCATTGTAAGCACGCAGGTTTACCGCTGAGCTACTGGGAGGGCCTACGTGTGGAGGGTATTTAGAAAATTTCTCAAGATGTCGATTTGAACCTGACCTCGTCATTTTTTACAGTGGCTACTTACAATGGAAATATCGGTGTCGAGCACTAATTTCAAGAACAGTTCAATTAACCTTCAGTATAATGCTCATTGCTAAATAAATAATGGCATAGCATAGGAAACCCACATACACACATCTATTGATCTATATAGCTTTAGCTGAAAGATATTGAATAGTCAATTATTTATCCACAAAAATCTTTCTTAAGGCACAACATTTTAATGAAACATAAGCATATGAATCTGATACTTCATGCACTTTCAATTGTCTTTTACTATGATTAAAACTTATCTATACAAACCTTATTTATAAAACAAAAAATGCGCTATCTGACGGTCTTATTTTTATTATTCCATATATGAAAATTTATAAGAAAACATTATCTAATTTATTTTTTAATACAGGGTTCCAAAAGAAAAAAACTTAATGATATACAAACAACAAATTATACCTCCTTACTGTTATACCGATTAACCACACAAATAACTTGAAGAGAAGGAACATCACAATATTGCCTGTCATCTTATAACTTGTTGATCAATTTTGCTTCAGACCCATTATGTTATTGCTCTGATCTTCTTCACCTTAATGCTCCCTTCCCAAGTGGCTTGGCATTAAGCTGCAGGTTTACGACGCTAAAATTCGGGTTTGGATACCCGTGTTGAGCAGACCACTGATAGCCCATTGTGTAGCACTCTGTATAACGAATCAACCTAATGACAAAACCCATTTCACAAACATAGATGTACAATTAAGAAGAACCAGGATAGTAGCAGTGCCTGTCTTCTCAAACCACTTTAACGGTTTAATTATGGGGAACTTAAAACCAGCAGTATTGAGCTTTTATTTCTCCAATCACTTCAATAAATGTAATGTAGAATAAAATACCAGTATTATCACTGGCTTCCCAAACCACTTCAACACACACATACTGTGATTAGGGAGCTGAATACCAGTATTATCACTAACATCTTCAATACACGTCCTGTAATGAGAAAATAGAATATCAGCAATATCACTATCTTCTTCAACAAACATACTGTGATTAGGGAACTGAGTATCAGCAATATCACTATCTTCTTCAACAAACATACTGTGATTAGGGAACTGAGTATCAGCAATATCACTATCTTCTTCAACACACATACTGTGATTAGGGAACTGAGTAT